ACACCAGCTCCACCCCCGAGCCTCCTGGGACTTGTAGTTCGCGGCTTCGTGGTGCGCAGGCGCACTGCGGAGACCGTCCTGGTTGCGCTCGTCGGGGAGGCGGCGGCAGCGGCGGCGCGGCGTGAGTTAACGGGGCGCAGGGAGGGGGCGGGGGCGCGGGCTCCGGGGGGCGGAGGGAGGTGGCGTCCGGGACTGGCCGCGGCGGGCCCGGGCGGGAGCCGGTGGCGCCCGAGCGTTGCGCCCCGGTTGGCACCTGCGCCCACCCCGGGGTCACCGCGCCTGAAGACGGGTGTTCGGGGCCCTGGGCGGGGGTCCGGCGGGAGGGGCGGCCGAGGCGTTCCCGTGGGCGTTTGTCCTGTCTGTCACTCGAGGCGACGGAAGCCGCCCAGCGCCCAGAATGGCACATCTGACCCTTGCCCGGCGGGGGGACCCCAGCGTGAGACCCAGGGGGCGCGCTCTGCTGTGAGGGAGGGGCCGCACTTGAAAGGGAAATGGAATAAACCCTATTTGCTCTTAAAGGCCGAGAGGGGTCGGAACGTTCAGACTTGGGAATATGAATTCACTAGGGCTCCTTGGCTGACCCGGGGTCTCCCCCAGACTATTCTGCCTGCCCCATCCCCCAGGAGACACTTGGCAGTGCTTGGGGTCGTTGGTGGTTGTCATGACGGGGCTGGGGGGGGGGGGGCGGCAGTGCATCGAGTGGGTGGGGGTCAGGGATGCTGCTCAGCCCCCTGCAGTGCCCAGGACGGCCCCACCCCAGAGAATGATCCGGCCCCAGTGTCCACAGGGTTGAGGCGGAGACACCCTATGTTAATTATTTAGAAAACCAGTTGACTCCGATCCCTGCTCACTAGACACCAGAATAAATCCTCAAAGGGTCAGACAGTAGGAACCAGAGTGACCCCCCCCCCCGTGTGTGTATTTAATTGTGTGCAGTCTCCTGGGACCTCCGTAGAGCGGATAATGATGGCACACAAAGTGTCTTGGGGGTGGGTAGACTCCCCTAAACCAGGGAGATCTCACTGGGGAGTGCCTCTGTCCCTAAGGGACCGTGGTGGTATCTAGGAACATCTGTGGTTGCCACCCTGCTGAGCCCTGGGGTGGAGTAGGTGAGGCCAGGGACGCTGCTCAACTCCTCCCAGTGCCCAGAAGAGCACCCCCCGCCCCGCCCGGCGAGAACGACCTGAACCACCGTTCACAATGCTGAGAGGGAGATCCCGACTTACACTTTATCCTTAGAGGAGTTCCTCATTGGCCTCATCAGGCCCTTCCTGGGGAGAAATGATGGGTTTCTGTGGTTTGAACATTGAAAGGGAAGGTCCCAAGCCATGTGGCACAGGTCTAGGTGAAGGAGGGGGCTGAAGGGACCACTGGCATCTGCCACAAGGTAGGAGGGTCTTCGAACCATCAGACGATGGGAGAGAATTGTTCTGCAAGACCTAGGAAGGGGCTGGGGGACCTGGACCCATTGCCCTGAGCTGCGGCTTCGAGTCCCAAGAGCCGGGGCGCCTGGGGGGCTCAGTGGGTTAAGCCTCTGACCTCCGCTCAGGTCATGATCTCACAGTTCGTGAGTGTGAGCCCCACGTCGGGCTCTGTGCTGACAGCTCGGAGCCTGGAGCCTGTTTCGGATTCTGTCTGCCTCGCTCTCTGCCCCTCCCCCGGCTCATGCTCTGTCTCGTTCTGTGTCTCAGGCATTAACAAAAATATTTATAAAGTCCCAAGAGCAAAGGCGGAAGTGCACGCGGTGTGGGAGGCAGTGGTAGATGCCTTCAGGTGCTCGCACAGAATCCCCTGCGTGAGGCTCCCTGGCAGCAAGGCTAGGG